AATCTGGACCGTGTAGGGAGGTGTAGACTACCCTGAAACTCCAGGAATCAGTAGTTTACATGGCTAAAAATCGATCACAATAGCGCGAGTGTACTCACTAACCGTTACCTTGCACACAACTTTGTCTACATCAATATTGGTGTTCTCCTAGTCACTTGTTTTGTGTAGCGATTTGAACTTATGGACTTCTGTACGAGGTGGTTATCGTGCCCCAATGACCTGTCCAATATACAGGTACAGCTCTCTAGTGTCAGTGGGAAATACTCCAGCTGATGAGTCTGAAATAGGACGGAATGAGCATCTTGGATTTCATTGCCAGTGACCAAATTGGTCATCATCCATCTATTCATCAGTCCACAACTTTGGGTCACTTATTCGAATTTGTATAGCCTCAGCTATATGTAAAAACAGCTGGATTCGAACACAGGCGGGAAGGGTCGGTGGGATGCAGAGTAAATCACTTTCAACGTTTTCTTCTTATCTACTCAGTAATCACTATCAACCAGATGCAATTAAATAGAGGTTCTTCTTCGTTTACCCAATCACGAAAGTCGGAAGGTGTTCGGTAATACACTGGTCACCTTGCCTAGTCGAATGCTCGATATAACTGTGTCTGTCACCACAGGAGCTATTAAACTGGTGAATACAAATGGAAATGACACAAAACAAATCGTCAGCTAGAAAACAATAGACGCAGGTTAACTCCATCAAAAGTTCTTTCAATGGTTCTTGACAGTCAGTGGAATAAGATATCTCACTACGTATATCACCGTTGAATTGTAGCTTTAGGAATAGTGATTTCTTTCGAACGGTTATTGTTTCAAGTCTTTTTACTGGTCTACTTAACTGTGATTTGGCAGACTAGTATTACTGATACTAGGTGATAATGATTGAGGGTCGACGGAATAAAAATTTGAACCACGGCCGGATTCGAACCAGAGACCAATAGGGTTTCGGACCCGATACTCTACCAGCTGAGCTACGAAATCCGATTGCTGATCAATTTCTTTTTATTTATTGCGCTTTAATCCCCATGACTTGATTTGTCCAACTACCTTGTGAATTCATGACACCTCACTTAGGTAACTTATTTCACTAGTTTATCAGGCGGCGGTAAGCTCGGATAAACAGGGAAGGTTGAACATAGTGCTAGCAACCATACCCCATGAAACCAAGCTAATCGCTAAATAAACTTCAAATCACAAAGAAAATATAAAAATTCAAAAAAACAAACTTATTCCTCGCTGGAATCGAAGACACGAAATGACACCAGTTGATGAAAGGCTTTGGGAAGCCAATGGGCCGATGTGTCTTCTCTCGATGAAAGCGAAAGTAAGATTGGGGACATGGAATGTCTGCACCGAGGAAGGCGGCACACATTGCAAAAGAGATGAGGAGGTATGGTATAGAAGTGATTGGAATCTGCGAAAGTAGATGGAATGGAAGTGGACTCTCCAAACTGTCAACTCGAGAGGAGTCAATAACCTACTCCTGTATTTGTCACCCAGACGACAAACACGAGCACACTGAGTTTTCGAGTGGTTATCATAATGTCCTCAAGAGTATCGGAGGCTCTCATCCAGTAGGTACAATCTCCTCGACGATCAACATCATGACAGCAAGATTCAACTGGAAAGGGAGGAAAGTCACAATCGTACAATGCTACGCTAGGCTACCATAGGCTAGGCTAGACTATGCACCTACAAATAATGCAGGGGCAGATGAAGAGAAGAAGGAGGAATTCTGTAGACGACTGCAATCAGTACTGGATAAGACCCCACCCCAGTTGGTGACATCAAATGCATTCTAATGGGTGGGTGACATGCACGCCAAAATGGGAGCCGACAACACAGGAAGAGAAGTGATCATGGGTCGAGAGGCACTCGATGAAATGAATGGGAGTGGGGAAGTTTCTGCAGACTTCTGAGCATTCAACGATTTGTTGATTGGAGGTGAGGCATAGTGTACAAACACAAGGATATTCACAAAGTGAGCAATATGAATTTGATTTCACCAAACAGTAGGACATACTGCACTAAAAATCAGATGGACTTCATCTGAATGTAAAGAAAGAGGAGATGCAGCCAGCCTACTGGACACAACATCAGATCAAGAAGGGGAGCAGATGTAGGTTCAGACCACTCATTATCTAGTGCAAGCAACCTACCTTCCAAATCAAGTTGAAAGCCTTCACAGAAGTTGGTGATAGACCACAGTTCAATTTGAACACCCAGAACAGAAACTGAAGGATGAAACTACAAAGGACATCTTCACATCAGTCAATCATCAAGAAAAAAATAGGAGACACTGAGCAACATTCATGAAGAAACCTACGTGTAAGAACTCTTTGGAAGAGAAGTGGAAGGAAACCTGTGTAACCATGTTAGGAAGGAAGAAGAAGCAAGACAAGGAATGGATTTCCACGGACACGTGGAAGCTGATAGAATAGGGTTCCTAGTGGAACACAGAGTTTCAGCAACTTTCATAGAGAAAAGATAAATCGGGCAATTGGCATCCGGAGGGCTTTCATCAACTGACGTCATTTCGTCCTTCCGATTCCAAGGAGGAGTAAGTCTGTTTTTATTTTTTATATTTTTTTGTGCTTAGAAGTCCCTTTAGCGATTGGATTGATTTTAGAGGGTAGGGTTGCTAGCCCTATGCCCTAGCCCAACCTTCCCTGTTTATCTGGCCTTAGGAGCGGCTAGTAACTAGTGAACTATTAGTCAACTAGGCGAGATTGTGTGGTTTATTTTATGCATACTTTCTAGTTATACTTTTATTATATGCTCTGGTTTGCATAGCTGTTTTTCATCACCTTATTCTTATAAATTGACTTGATTATGACTTGGAGTTTACTCAAGGATACGCGTTTCGACCTGTTTACCACTCATCAGATGTCGATCGGTTCGAATCAGTATGACTACTAAGAATTACAATATTCACCAAAAATTTAAAGAAACACTAAATCAACTCAATTTCATTACATCTGTTTTAATTTTTCTTTAATGTGTTGTTTGTGTATGTTTAACTTCTAGCGTGAAAACTAAAATTGCATGAACTGTATGTGTAATGTGTATACTACGCAACAGATTTCGAACAATCTGACCACATAGAGATATAATTCTCATACGTATTTATTTGAAAAGATGATGGAGTAAAAATAACCATGAGATTACAAGGAACTATGACCGTTAATCATAGAACAGAGTATAGAATGGCGGACAACTGTCTACCTCAACATTATCGACTTTGAAAAGGCCTTCCTTCGACAGCGTCAACCGACAAGTAATTTGGCAGGCAGTTGCTTCAACACTACGGTTTTAGTCCCACAAATCTTTGTCAACCTCATTCAACAGCTGTATGACGACGCCACATACCAAGTGATCCACAATGGAAAGCTCAGTGACACCTTTGAAGTGAAGTGAAGACAGCAGTAAGACAAGACAAAGTTGCCTACTATCACCGATGATCTTCCTGACTATGGTCGACTAGATGATGCAGCAAACCGTGAGGAGCTGTGAGAAGATGGGCATAAGCTGGATCGATGAAAAGAGCCAAGGAGATTTCAATTTCGCCAACGATGATGATTTATGTCTTATGTCTTGTCGCGCAAACTCGAAGATGTGCAGGCGAAAACTAACAAGTTGACAGAAGAGGCAGGGCAGCGAAGACGGGACTGCAAGTGAATGTAGAGAAGACAGGTGATGAAGATACCCAACGAACAACAGCATGAACAACGAGAGGCACCAATCACTATTAACGGGAGAAACCTAAAGAAAGTTGTCTCTTCCACCTACCCACCTACGTAGGCAGCATCGTTTCAATTACAGATGGCGGCACAGGCACAGATGAGGATGTCGAAGCCAGCCAGGATCGGAAAAGCAAGACAGGCTTTCATTAATCTGAAATCAGTGTGGAGATCTACTGCACTCAGCCCATAGAACAACATCCAGATTTTCAACACCAATCCAGTGAAGTCAGTGCTTCTATATGATGTCACAAAAATCATTTCCAACAAATTACAGACATACATCATCAACAGCTGCCGACTATGCTTACTGCATACTGAAGATGGTGATCAGATGGCCAAAATAATACGAATCAGCAACAAGGGACTCTGGCTAGTAATGAACCAACCGAGACCCTATCACCGAACAAATATCCAGAAGAAAGTGGGCATACACTAAGAAGACCATTCGAAAGCATCACACTCCAGGTCATGCCGTCGAGTGGAACTCAAATAGGAAAACGACAAGTTGGGCGTCCGAGGCGGTGACATGGAGGAGGAGATGGGCAGTCGTGGAGCCAGGTTCATAAGACTAGAGAGATCAGAGTGCAATGGAGATGTGCTACTGAATCCTTATGTTCCACTAAGAACCTAAAGGACAAATAATAATAGTAATCTAATATTATCGTTTGATCGCATCGGACAGGGTGGTCTCTGGTTCGAAACCGGTCGTCATCGAAATTTTTCATTTCATCTTCAATTATCACTTCAATATAAATAAATATTTACTTTTGTTTAACTAATCGATTATATTGATCAATTTATACCCTAGAAAACATCTATTCAATATTTATTTATTTCTTAGAGATATAAAAAATCACTATGTAAACCAGTCACAACGTAAGCACATATACAGAGAGATTAAGGGGACTAGATAGTTTAGCTACCTTATCAAAATGATACAGTAATATATATATATATATATATATATATATATATATATATATATATATATATATATATATATATATATACTTTAATGTAATAACATTTTAATACATTGTCCAAACAGAAAGTCGGAGAGATGAGACGGCGGTAGCGTCGATGGAGACAGATGAAAAAACTGTGATAACATAAGGTATAAAACTTGGACAACGTGAAGGGAGAGTATAATTCTTAGAGACAAGACCGAATATAGTAGAATATCCCGTATATCTATAACATATCCAGATGTTTAAAAACGTTATTCAATCGTAAAAATTCATCAACTTACAGAGTATATACACCATGAAAACATTGATCATATTGTTGATATCGAAGTATATAATTATCTTGTAGAGATGTATTGATACTCATTGATGATTGTGTGAATAGAAGATCTGGAGTATTTGCAGCTATATAATATAATGTTGTATTCACAGCTTTGGGATTGACAGCCTCTGGAGCATAAGAATAACTTAAACTGATTCCAGATGTCCATAACTTGATAATGAGAAGACAGGATAGATGATAAAAACAAACAAACAAAAACAAGAAAAGATGAGAAAAGTTATAGATGATAAGATCGCATATTGAGGTAAATAGCAGCTTGATAATGTGCAGTTAGTCGACTGAAGTTCAATCGACTTGGTGGTGTGTTGCTTAGTACCCTCCAACTTACTCTAATATACCTATCATGATGATTCTATTCTATGCAAACAATGCCACGAATACATCTATCTGTGATCAAAACCTTGTAATCGTTTCTCATAGTTGTACAACCAGATATAGAACGGTTTGCAGCGCAGTATACACATCCTTTCATATATGATTAGCTACATTGTGCCAGCGAGTTTTCTTGAGCAATCACTTCACTTCCTATTCAAACTAGTGTCTTGAAGCATTCATCAACTTATATTTGACAGATACTAGGCTAAATGACTACTCCAAGATAAAGCATGGTTGAATGGAAACATGAAACACAAATGATCCTACAGAACCACCCCCTCCGAAGGCGTAGAACCCTTCAGGTTTCACGGTGAACGTGCTGAGTCGAAGTTGATTGGTTCAATCAATCAATCATTATCAACATAGGACCAGGCATTACTGCATAACGGTTCAACTTGCCACACCTCATCTCATATGATCACATCAACTAGAAAGGTAGTGAGGTGAAGGATGAAGATAAGTGAATGCAGTCAAAAGAAATATAAAGTATGAGAAGAAAGGAAGGAGGAGTGACAAAATGTTGAGATTCGTATAGTGTAGTTAAGATAAGGATAATGTGTGTATACATCTGCACCACTGACATCCGTTCTGAGCCATATCACCTACAGTCTACAACCACTGGTTCCTCTTGTCCCATGGACCCCAACCTTCTAGTCTGCATCGCCCCACATGGCTCAAACCAACAGTCAGAGACTTCATACATTGGTGCCATGTTTTAGTCTGGCCACCTCCACCCTTTTTCCAGCCTGGACCCACCTCAGCCAACATTGTGTGACAAGGCAATCGGTGACTAGGCATACGTAGTACGTGTCCCAACCATCTCAGTCGATGACGGTTCATAACCTCGTCAACTGACTTACCTCTACTCCCTAAAACTCTACACCTGACTTCTGCATTACGCACGTGGTGACACCACGGAATAAGTCCTATACTACGAAATCAACGAGTTGATTGGTTCGTTGCCAGCCAGAATTCCTCTTTGCTTATTTTTATTATTCTGGCCATCTGATCACCATCTTCAGTATAGAGTGAGCGTAGTCGGCAGCTGTTGATGATGTATGTCTGTAGTTCGTTGGAAATGATTTTCGTGACACGCCAAGTTTCGGAACCATCACATAGAAGCACTGACTTCACTGGATTGGTGTTGAAAACCCGGGTGTTGTTCACGCCTCATGCTGAGGGCAGTGCAGTAGATCTCCACACTGATTTCACATTAATGAATGTCCGTCTTGCTTTTCTAATCCTGGCTTTAACACCCTTATCTGTGCCGCCTGTAGTCCAGATGACGCTGTCCAGATCAATAACACCGCTGTACACAAACCAGCAGACTTTATCTATCATACCTGGAGGTGGTATTCAGTAACTATCAATAAACGGGAAAGACATCACTAAGAGTGAAGAGAATAGGACAGTCGAGAATAAAAGCGACCAAGTCATTACACTTCGATATCGGCACTGTAAGTAACAAGGCAATAAAACTCCGTAAAAGCAGTAACAGGGAAGAAGAAGAAATGAGAAAATGCACGAATTACGAGGAACGTCACGTACCATCTCGCATAAAGTCTTTGACCACTGATTTCCATTGTCAAGTGGACCCCAACCGACTAGTCTATATCTCGGAACTTCATGTCATATTTTAGTCTGGTTGCCCTCCACGCCTTCTTCTAACTAGAATCTACTTCGGTCAACATTGCTTGATGAGGCATCTCACAACTCAATGAAGGCTGATAACCACGCATCTCCTACCGAAAACTCTACATCTGACACGGCATGTCCCCTGTCTTTAGTGTCTATGTTTCACAAACATATAGTAGAAAAGAGCGCACTGCAGGACAGTACACAGTCGACACTTAATCGACAATCATATAACATAGCGGAATCCCAGATGGTGTAAGTTGATGAAACCAACCAATCGAACTTTATATGTGCGCATCATAATGACATGTAAATAAAATGAAGGATTTTTATTTGCTGAGATGATAAAACTTTCAGTTGTACACATGACCCATGCCCTCTCAAGTTTGAGAAAGGAATACTTTAAAGAGAAGGTCAACTAACGCTTATGATGATAGTGGGCGGCAAATTGACTGTCGTTAAGAAGCATAACAAACGTGACCATCATCTGTTCTTTTATGCATATCACAAGTTTCGATAATTTTCACACAAAAAGATGTTTCTTTGCATATTGTATACAAAAGATGCTATACTACTATATATACTCCTAATTTTGCAAAAATTTTTGCTCGTGACCTTGAACTAACCTATCACGACTATTTTCACACCTTTACTAGTTTTTCTCCCCTCTCCACTCAAGGCTCAATTCTCATTGGTTGTTAACTATGTGTGTTTAGTGTTGTCAAGGTCACTTAAGAATGTTATATATTCAGCATCGCTGTCAATGGTCTTATCTTCTCTTGTTATGTTAGCCTGTCAGTGCTATTTCCCTCTGACATTCACCAATCGTTATAAAAACGTCTCAAAAGTATGAACTAATCAGTATTCTGTCTTGAAGAAGGACGTTTGCTACACCACACTACTGTATAACGGGGGAATCAAATAGCATGATCTTAAGACGAAAGCTTAATTCAGTTATTAAAAACGCATACTATGCAGCCAAGCTTGATATTATAGAGAAAATGAAATTTATGCTTCAAAATAAACCTCATCCACTACATAGATGATTAAGTCACATCTCGGTGTGTATATCAGTTTACATTGGGAGCAGTAATCAAGGCTTGTGGAGTATATCCCTAAATGGCTAGAAATACAATAACATTCAAATAATCCTATAAATACAGGGGGAGGGAGGTGGGAGATAGACATCATCCTCGGATAGTAAACTCAATATAGAAACAGGAGATAGGATTAGCCCCAAAATAGACCTTAGATCATTGTTCAATTTGTCCTCAACTTAAACTTGCCTTGATAATCTTTATCTCATTTTAGTGACAAAGGAGGCATGAAAGTGTGTATCATTCCTCCTTATGGTTTTTATGTCCTTCAAATCATGTATTATTTTAATTTATTTGCCTTACCCCCATTGTATTTTTATCCTTTATAATAAAGTTCTTTTAGTTGGGACATGTGTTACGTATGCTTAGTCACCGATTGCCTCGTCACACAATGTTGGCCGAAGTACGTTCAGGCTGGAGACGGTCAGATTAAAACATGGCATCAATGTATGAAGTTTCTGACTATTAGTTAGAACCATGTGGGGCGATGCAGACTAGAAGGTTGGGGTCCATGGGACAACAGGAACCAGTGGTTGGAAACCGACTTTAGGTGATCAAATGGCTCAGAACCGATGTTAGTGGCGCATATGTATCCCCTACACATATTATCCTAATTCTTCCTTTCTCTCTTCTAGTATTTTGCCTTTCTTTTGACTGAGTTTTCTTATCTTCATCTTCCACTTCGCTGCCTTTCTACTCCATGTAGTGATAAGAGATGAGCTATGGCAACTCGGACCGTTACACGGCAGTAATCTCTGGTCCTATGTTGATGTTGATGATGAATGCACCGCACATTTTTCTCATATAATCTCTGTCATCTTGTTACACAATGGAAATTCATCAAAAGGATGTTTTATCTGTATTGCAGAAGGTTCCTAAGACAATGTTACTACTACCTATAGCTTAACCATGTTAGGAATTCTTCACATGATCAATATGTTCTCCTTTATCAGAATATTACTGAAAAGGCATATATATTCTTGAAGAAGTCGAAAGAAAAACACAGATAAAATCATTGTAGAACCATTCATTCCTACTATCTCGAGAACCGTTAAACCAAATCGTCTGCACCTTCCCACACACACAACTCAGACCAACAGTTAGAGGTGCTACATGTCCATTTGACCACTTTGAACCCTCTACGAACATAATCAAACTTCTGCTGATATTCTACATCGAAGCACGTGGTAACTGGGTGGGCATACACAGTACATGTCTAAGCCATCTCAGTCGACTAAGGTTTTTGAAAAAGAAAGTTGAATTTGAACGTTTGTAGAGATTTTTCAAGTTTGTATTCATCATAGGAGTACTGGACAGCCAGCTGTTTCGTCCTAGTGTGGGACTCCTCAGCAGTGCGCACCCACGACACCGCCGTGGCTCGAACCCACAACATTTAGGTTCCGTGACCAGCATGTTACCGTTTAGCTAGCCAATGAGTCAACGGAATCCAGTGATCCATATTCCCAACCTCTGTCAGCTCACGACATAGCGCAGCCATCACCCAATGTCCTCACGACAATAAGGTTTACCCCTTCAACTGATGATACCCACTTAAAAGAAATGAAGTGTCACTAGATGTGACTTATTGCCATGTGGATGTGTATATACAAGGGTTGGTTGCTGGCTGAATGTGTTGCTTTCTTTGTCAAATGTAGAAATATTCCCGATGACAACAGTCGAGAAAAAAGATCAATTTATTGACTTTATAAGAGCAAGGGTAAAGCAAAATGTTGACAAATGATTAGTTTGACTATTTGAGATAGCCATTTTGGTATGTCAGACGTTAGGATAGTTGAAGGTGAAATGAAAATTTAAGATGCGACAGGATTCGAACTATCAGTTGGTGACTTAAGTGAAATTACGACATTGACTTCACTCGCTTCCCAGTTAGTTAAATTCACCATATAGACCTGTCAAATTCTCTTCACAAATCTCTCCTATATTCAATCCAACTTCAAAAAGAACAAAACAATATGGTGACTACCAAAGGAACCTAGCACATATTTCGTCCCATTTGTGACTCATTAGCTGGATGTGCCTGCA